TTTTGTTTAGCTCGACCCCTTTTTTTTCTAAATATTTTATTACCTCCAAATATCCGCCGAGAGCAGCGTAATACAGAGGAGTATCCTGAAAAAACAAAAAATTTTATGTGTTTTATGCTCTAGAAACAGCGTAATCTTTTCTTTAAAACTCAAATTACCGAGTACTCAAGCAGTATTTAATGCTTTACGAAGATCCGGTGATAGGTCGAACGATTATATTCAGACTTTTTCTACAGTTTAGTGCTAACAAATACAATTGAAAAAGCGTTTTGTATTACGTTTACAGTGAAATGTTACTTTGTCAACTGTAAATTGCCAGATTTTCGTTACCTTTTCTAGTAAGGTTTTCAATAAGAGAACAAAATATCATGTAGATGAAACAGATAAACCTGAAACTAGTGTGAAGCACAAAATTTTTAAAGACCAGATAAGCAGAATTTGGAACAACCTTTTATGTTTCTCAGCTACATCTTCAACTCTAAAGCACAACATATGTCTACAGAAGAAATGTTTACTTGTTCTCTAAAATATAAAATATATCTACAGAATAAATGAGTACTCGTTCATTGTTAAAGTTTGGTAAGTGTGAGTAGAAGTAGTAAGCCTTTTCAATTTTTTTACAAAAAAATCGTATGAGAAGAAGATTAAGAACTGATAAGCTTTCCAACTTTAGATACATTTCATGAAATAATTCTGCCAATTGATAATAATTTTTAAGAAAATATGCGATATTTGTAAAGCAGACTGAGGTGATCCCTAGAAGTTGACTACAAAAAGCTTTTTCCAAAAAAGCTTCGTTTAAAAGCGAAAGACCAATTTATCTGCACAATGCATTTAGTTCAATTTTTAATTACAGATCAAAAATAGAAGAAGAAAAAAATAATAGCTGTGCTTAAATCAAGAAATTTTCAACTTTTTGCAGTCACAATTAGCCAAGTGCAACTTAATTCTACTTTTTTAGCTCGATGTAATTTTGTAAATTTATATAATTCTCAGTAAAAGAGCACATATCTACCGCTTCACAATCCGGAAAAAACCTCGTTTTAATCTCTTCCAAAAAAATTCTACAAGTACGAAACCCTCCAAATATCAGTCACTAAAACGGGATAGAATAGTTGAAACTAAGAATTCTTGTTGGTAATTAGTCTATCTGCATCGTGACAGTACACTTGCCATGCAAAAATTCAATAGTTTTAAACTTGAGAGTGGCTGATAAGAAAGCCTGACTCCGTTGTTATCCTTTTCATTGAGGTCGATTCCTTTGTTTTCCAAGTACTTCAAAACCTCTATTTGTCCTTCAGACGCAGCGTAATGTGATGGTCTCATCTGAAAGTTTCTGACTATTGTTCATTTATTTCTTTTTTATTTCCGTTAGAAGAGCTAACTCTACCCCAAATTTGTCTTGGTCGCGGTATGGCATTACTTCTATACTTTTCACGCAAACTTCAGTAGAGGAAAGAATAAGAAGACAAAGTAGTACCTTCAATTCACACTAATTCAGCGAAACTAAAGTGAAAGATCTGTGTGAATGGTTAATACTTGATTTTAGAAACAAATGTGGAACAAATTTGCTGCTTTTTTGTGTCAGTTATTTTTGAAGTAGAAAAGGGTTGCTTATAAGTAATTCTTCTTGAACGACAGGACAGTATATTTAAAAAGTATTTTCTCTACTACTTATATCTGTACCAAAACTGAAGAAGAGAAAATGGTAAATTTTTTGGAATCAGCACAGTTTCTTCTCTTTGCAATCACAACGCAACGTTTTTAATGTTTCAGTTTTCAGTTTCGCATGGTCATTACAATACGGTTTTCTGAACTTAAAAATTTCTAATATAATCTGAAACGTCTACTTTCCAGTTTAAAGACAAAATTTTTCTTTAAGTTTTTCTAAAAAACACACACACACAGTTTCTGCGGCACCTAAAATGCAACAAATCATTAGGTGTGAGCTAAGAGAATGACTGCAAGCGGCAAGCCCTTCTTTCTTCTTCTGTCTTTTAACAACTGTATAGCTTCGTCTTTAAAAATCTCTTAGATTTTGAATCTGAAGTTAAAGTGATAACAGAACCTTACCCCGTAATTATTCTTTTCATCAAGGCAGACTCCCTTCTCCTCCAAATACGCTAAAACCTCTAAATGCCCATTGCGAGAAGCAAAAAACAACGGGGTCACCTGAAAAACCATATAACTCTTTCTAGTTTTTAACTCTGAATATAACTTATTTTTCGGCATTCTTTTTTGTCCTTACACTGCAAAACTTTTCTTCGTGGCAAATGCCGCTCAACTTGGCCAATAAATTACTTTTGCGGAAATCGCAGAAGGAAAAGGTTGACGTATGTAAGCTTTTATTAACGAAGCGAAACTGAAACCCCACAAGGGTTATCTAAATGTTTGATGCGTTTTTTACCAAGCAACTTCTAAAAAGATTTATTCTGAGTTTTTTCGTGGACTCTAACAAGTTTTCTTAATAAATTGTCTAAGAAATCCTATTCTAATTAAGCTTTACATAGGAGTGGAGAAGTCTGTGGTTACATGGCTTTTTTTATTTCACTCTCAAAATAATCTCTGTTAAGATGTTAAGATAACTGCAGTTTAACTGAACTACTCCCAACAAAAAAATCGTCTGAAACTTTTTTTATGTAAAATTCACATTAAAACGAAGGTCAGGTTGACCAAAAACGAACAATCATGTTTGTAACAAGAAAGCTTTTTTTCTTTTTATGCGAATTAAAGCGACTGGAGAGCTCATGCCTGAAAATTACAGAATTCTACTGGTAAAGTTTTTTACATTTACGAATTTCTATCACAAATCCGCATGATATAATGCCAGCATAATTCTTAATTCCACTCTGCAAAAAAGTAAAGAACTTTTAAGGTTTATGCTTTCTGCAAAGTCAGTGCCTAAGATGAAGCAGAAATCCTGAAAGAAATTAATTCTTTTCTATCAACTCCTCTGCAACAAAGCTTTCCAGCTGGAAATCTGCAGATTCCTAATTGATTCACACAGCAATAAAGCCTCACTCCTTCATAATTCTTGTCATTTATGCACATTCCTTTACTCTCGAAATATTTCAAAACCTCCAAATGTCCGTTAACACAAGCAAGGAATAACGGTGTATTCTGAAATAAACAGGAATTTTCTTTGGCCAGTGCAAGGGAGTTGTTTTATCTTTTTGGTTTATACGTTATAAAGGTCTTCTTCCTGTTAAACGTGAGTTGTGTTATTAAGTTACTTGCAAATTTTGCTATTTTTTTATTTCTGAGAAGGACCAACATAAAAAAGATGTATTTGAATTTTTTATTGATCTAACTGGGCCTAAACAACATCAAGATTACACAGAAATAGGAACTTTTCCATCTTGAACAAGTTTTCAACAAGTTTTTTTAGTTATTCGTGAAGCAGACTGTAGTTTCTTATAATAAATGCTCAAGAGATCTTTTTCTGAATGAGTTTATTGAAAAAGTAGATAAATATTTTTTTTATTCAAAGATCAAATTAAAACAGAAAATAGAGAAATAAAAGAGGTAACAATGATCTCTTTAAAAAGAGTTTTTTTTTGTGCGCGCTACAGTAAAATCTTAACGTTTTAGCTCTTTAATTCTGTACTTTTAGTTTGATATGGCTTTGCAAATCTAAATTTACAAAAAAAAAAAACAACTTCTCGGTAACTTTTTATAAATCAGACAAGAAGACGGTGTATGGAATCAGAACGAAAATAAACAGCAATCCATTCTCCTACGCCAAATTTTTTTTCGGTACAGAGCAAAGCGGATGGTTGTGTCACTTTTTAAAAATTGAGCTGCGTGCTAAAAAAAACTTACCCCATCATCATTCCTTTCATTAAGACCGATTCCTTTACTTTCTAAATATTTCAAAACCTCCAAGTGTCCGCTACATGAAGCGAGGTGCAAGGGCGTATTCTGCAAAAACCGTAGAGGCTTTTTTTTACCACAAGATCAAAAAATTTTTTCTTATTTTCTTATTTTTACTTTGTAAACCTCTTCGTCGTGACATATATTTCTCACCTGCGCTTTTGTGTTCAATGAAGCATAGAATTACCACAAAAAAAGCTAGGACATCTTGATTTGATGCAGTTGAAATTATATGAAAGTCATACAAATGGTCAACGTTTGGTTTTAACTGACAAGTTTTCAACAAATTTGCATCTTCAATATGAATTTCAACAAAGTAAGTTAAAATTTTAATTTGAGCTTGTTTTAAGAAATCTTCTCGCAAATCAAGGCTTTTTAAAAACGAAGAAACTTCTGCTTTCATAACCTTCAATTAGTTAAATACTATATGAGAAGAAGAGTGAACAAAAAGAAGCAAACAGCGATTCTTGGTGGGAGCCATTTTTTCTCGCTTCCTAAGCGCTTAGTGTTCTATAAACCAGCCTGTTACTTCTGCTTATCTGCTTCAACAAAGTCTCGTATCCTTCCGAAACCTATTTTTTCTCTCCAAAGTGAATAAAAAGTTTTTTTTTCAGTACGCTATAACTTCATAGCTGCAAAACCCTCAACTGTTACCGGCCAAAAAATTAGAGAAACGCTAGACAGCAGTTGACTGTTTTTGAACAATGTCTTTGAAAGAATATCAGTACAGAAACCTGAGAATCAAAAGAAGTAATTTTTAAACTGCTTTGTGTGCACAATAAAACCTCACCCCTATCTTGTTCTTTTCATTGACATCATATCCTTTCCTTTCCAAGTACCTCAAAATTGGTAAATGTCCACTAGAACAGGCGAGATGCATCGGTGTATTCTGAAAACGATATACAATTTTTTTTGACCTTTTGACTAGAAATACAACATATTTTTTTATTATGCTCAATATTTCTAGAAGCATTCTTTCTCTTGAACGTTCCTCATCTGCCCTATCGCATTAAAGTTTAAAACTCCGTAGCATTTTTACTGAACAAAAGGAGTAATAAACAGAAAAGATCTACAGTATTTGCGTTGATTTTGTGCAGCCGGAGCAACACAAGGATCACGCAGATGTCGGCGCGTGTTTTCCCGACCAGGTTAAAAAGAGATTCTAGCTTTTTTCTGAGTTACAGGGGGAGCAAACTAATGTTCCTGTAATGACTGCGTAAGAAATCCGTTCACAAAACACATTCTTCAAGGAGCGCACAATCTTCTGCTCCCAAACTTCTTTTATTCCTTGATCGTTAAATTGACAGTGGAGTGGATAAAAAAGCCAAACAGCGATCATTAAATAACGAGAGTCTTCCTGTGCGTATTGCGCTACAAATGCAGGGTCTCAGCTTTGAAATCCTATACTTCCGCTTCCATAAAACCTTGTACATCCAAAAACTTTTAACTTTAGCAAACAGACTCATTTCTCCCCGCACTTTCAAACATTACTGACTAAGGTTTGAAGTAATCTTTAGCAGCACTTAACTCTTTTTCTAACACTATTACAAGAAAAAAGGAGTAGAAATCCAGCAATTGAACTGCGGTATGTACAGTAACAAAGTCTCACCCCAATGTTGTTCTTTACACTGACATCAAACCCTTTCCTCTCCAAATACCTTAAAATCGGCAAATGTCCACTGCAGCAAGCAAGATGTATCGGTCTATTCTAGAAAAAACTTATGAATTTCACAAGATAACATTCTGACAGTACAATACATATTTTTACTGTTTTTTGTTATTTTGTTTTTAAAGAATTTTTTGTTTTAAACATTTCTCAACTGCGTCACTGCAAAT